TATATATTCCCCCCCCCCCCCCACCCCTTTTTTTAAGTTAGGCTTTTTTGTTTGAGCTTATCGAGGTTGTGGGCCTTTTTTATTAAATGACCAGGTCCAATCCAAATTATCCAATGATCCATATATACCAAAACCAATTTGAAGGCATCAGATCAGTAAAAAACACATACGCGCCCGGTTTCAAATCTCATCCACGTTCCAACTTCCACGCCTGATGCCTCTACCTCCTGCTACAGCCTTCCGTGCCGTCGACAGACTCCGGGCTTGATGGTCAGACCTCTTGTGACTTGTGAGTAGTGAGTAGTGACTAGTGAGGGCCTTTCTTCTTCTTTGTTATGTTGTTCTCTTTTCTTTTTATTTCTTTTTTTTCTTAATCCTTTTTTTTTTTTTTTTTTGGTTTTGGTGTAATTTTTTATTTGTGACTTATGAATCATGATTTATGTTTTGATTTAATTAGCAATTTGGCATCAAATGAGAATTGTGAATTTGTGAATATGTGATTTGGTATAAATAATTTATGTTGTACGAGACATTGACTTATGAGTTATAATTTATCATTTGAGCTTTGATTTGTGATCTGGGAATTTATGTTTAAGAAAGTAGGATAAGTGAAAAAAAAAATTAATCGAGAAGATGTTGGGCTCAATTCAAACATGTGAGCTCTATTTCTTAATAAATTCTAATTGAAAAATAGATTGTGGCATTTTGCAGATTATAGAACAATTTTTTTCAACCGAAACAAAAGTCAATACCCATTTAATTATATTGTATTGTGTATTTTTTTAGTAGTTTGGGCTGTATTAAATTATATTCTCATATGTATATAATTTTTATGTTTTAGTACGTTTACATATATATTAAATATTTTTTAATATTATTTAATTAAATATTAATAACCGATCTTGCTATTACGATCGTTGATTTTGGACAATCAACGATCTACCTTAGCTGAACTTATATCCTAGATTTGCCCCTGTTCACAACTCATATAGGCCCAACTAAAGCCTAACATATTTCTATGTGTGTTGCTTTTGCCCTAGCCATTTGTGTGTGCAATTGTGTAAAAACGTGGCTGCCCATAGAAGAAGAAAAATGTGGCTGCTTTGTGCTCCAAAACCAGTGATTAACTTTATGTTTTTTGTCTCCTCGTCGTGCCTTTTTTCATTGCTTTATTCTTGCCTTTGTAGCTACTACAAGAAAAATGATATTTAACATCTAATATTTCAACGATCAAATCAATCTGGTCGTTAAAAATTATTTCCAACGACCAAATTATACAATTCGTCGTAGAAATTGGATGACGAAGAATTGAATTTTAAATTAATTGGAAATATCCTACAACGATCAAAAGATAGTTGGTAAATCTATATTTTCAACGACCAAATTAAAATTGGTCGTTCAGGGCGGGCGCCAAATAACTTGTTCCCGCCAAAATATTTGTTCATATTCAATGACAACAAAATCAGTTATTAAAAATACACATAATATAGTACATATTCGACAACCATAATGTTTGGTTGTTCATATAAGCCCCGTTTGGTAGGGCCCTAAAAAATTGATTTTTTGACCGTTATTTTACTATTCAAGCCGTAATTTTTGACTTCTTCTCTCACGTGTGGACCCCACTTTTCTTCTAACGGTCAAAAAATCAATTCTCAAAATCCCTACCAAACGGGCTCATAGTAAAACAATAACTAATTTTATGTCGTTGTTGAAATTAACGGAAAAGTCGACATTTAATTACTATTTATTTGGTGGTCGTTACATGTGACATTCAACAACCAACTATGTTTTGGTCATCGGAAGTTTTATGACAACTTGGTTACAACTTTAGCTTGGCGTCAAAATAGTTTTTGGCATTCAATGACTAATAAGACATAGTCGTTGAAGGTGACAATCAACGACCAATAAAGTGATGTCGTTGAAAGTTTGTGAAAAAAGTAAATTGTTCGTGATTTTATTCCCTTTTAATTTATTTTCTTCCATGCTTATCATATTTCCTTAATTCAAATATATCTTTTGCCTTCAAAAATATTTGACATATTTGTAGGCTAATACTTAGCAAAAAAATTTCAATTACTATTTCAGCATTTCTAATTTTAATCCCCTTTTCAAAATATAGATTTGAATTTAAAAGACAAGTAAAAAGAAAAAGAGAGAATACATTTTTTTTTTATTCTTTTTTTGTTAACAAATTCCAAAAGTGAAAAACCCCAAGCACCCACGTAATTTTACAACTTTCTAGTTTTTGCCCAAATTGTCATTCTCTTTCTTTAATTTGTCATCTTCTTTGCCTCCAAAATTTTTTCCCCAAAATTATTCATTCCCTCCCTTTGTGCATCTGCTTATTTGGCTCAAACCTAATTCTAATTCTTCAATTGATGGACATATATGTACCGACATATACCAGCAAATGACTGGCTTCTTTTAAATCCATCCACCTCGACCTCCCCATTGAAGATCCTGAACGAGAAGCGTATAGGAGTAGGGCAATTGATGTTAATATTCTGGGCAGTGGTGTGATTGTTGGTCGTGAACGTTTCTGGCGAAACCCGGGTTTTATGTCGAGGATATCTTTGTGCGGGAATGTTACAGAAGGAAGGTGCTGGGGAAGATGCTGTTGTCCGCAGTTGTATCGCAGGCTGCAAAGATGGGGTACGGGAGAGTGGAATGGGTGGTGCTGGATTGGAATGTGAATGCCATTAAGTTTTACGAGCAGATGGGAGCCCAGATATTCCCAGATTGGAGAATTTGGCGACTCACTGGTGATGCCCTTCAGGCTTATGCTAATATTAACTTTTGATTTGACCATAGTTAATCCTTATTTCCATGACTATTACTGGAGGATTTTATCCATTTCTTGGTATTTTTTTGATTTGGATAAGGAAAAGTATGTTGTACTCCGCTGGTTATGATTGGGCAATTTATTAACCGGATTACTTTTGACTGTTGAGTAATTGGTTGGATTGCAATGTTTTGTTCTCTTTTATTGCTGAAATCTGAATATAAGATAAGTACATGACTATTGCAAGTGTCGCTAGGAATGGCTGTAATGGGAATGATTGAATGAGTTTGCTATATTATGCATGAGATGTTGGGAATCTATTTATACATGTACAGTGAAAAATTAAAATAATTTTTAATTCCCATCAAGAATCGTCTTTGTGTTTAGATAAAAATTGTACCTTTGAAGAATTTTACAATTCTTTTGCTTTTCTTTTCGTTTCATCAACCTTGATTCGTCACCACAACTGTCCAATTGTCCAGTCTCTAACGGTGATCTAAACAGGGAATGAGATTGCAGCTTCTAGAATTTTCTTTCTTGTGCCAGCAAGAATAATGAAAATCATATGGACCTCAAACCCTAGTCATATATTTATATAAACTTAAACGGGCTCGGTCCGGTCCGGTCCAATATTTAATTAATCTAATTAATTAAACTCGGTCCGTGAATTAATTAATCCAATTAATTAATTCGGGAATATAAATAACAAAATCAATTAATTTATCCAACGATTGTTAAACTAACCAATTGACAATTTGCAATCTTCCAATTCTCTTTTGTGTGTGATCCATTAAGTTCCCGACCACGATGCCTAACGACGTGAAATATTATTTTGATCTAATCAAAATTGAGAAATTAAAACACTCTTTTAATTTATCGTCAATTCACACTCGCCGTCCCTGATTAATATCTAGCAATGTGTCAAGGCAATACATGTGATGGGAAATGTCACGTGGTATGACAAAACCAAATTCGTTTGTTTACCGTGAAGCTATAATCCCTTCGTCAATATGATCCGATCAAGTA